AAAAAATCTGTAAATCACAATGTATGATTTTTTAAATAATTTATTTGTGTTTTACTGCTGCAAATAAGTATTTGAACACCTGCCAATCAGCAACAATTCTGGTCCTCAAAAACCTGTTAGTCCACCTCTAAAAGTCCACCTCCACTGATTATTCTAAATTAGAAGCACCTGTTTGAGGTCGTTAGCTGCATAAAGACACCGGTCCACCCCACACAATCTGTAAAACTCCAAATACTAACATGGCTAAGACCAAAGAGCTGTCCAAAGACACCAGAGACAAAATTGTAGACCTCCACAAGGCAGGAAAGGGCTACGGGGCAATTGCCAAGCAGCTTGGTGAAAAAGATCAACTGTTGGAGCAATTATTAGAAAATGGAAGAAGCTAAACATGACTGTCAATCTCCATCGGACTGGGGCTCCATGCAAGATCTCACCTCGTGGAGTATCAATGATCCTAAGAAAGGTGAGGAATCAGCCCAGAACTACACGGGAGGAGCTGGTCCATGACCTGAAGAGAGCTGGCACCACTGTTTCCAAGGTTACTGTGGGTAATACACTAAGACGTCATAATTTAAAATCATGCATGGCACGGAAGTTTCCCCTGCTTAAATCAGCACACGTCCAGGCCCGTCTTAAGTTTGCTCATGCCCATTTGGATGATCCAGAGGAGTCATGGGAGAAAGTTATGTGGTCAGATGAGACCAAAATAGAACTTTATGGTTTTAATTCCACTCGCCGTGTTTGGAGGACGAAGGATGATGAGTACCATCCCAAAAACACCATCCCTACTGTGAAGCATGGGGGTGGAAGCATCATGCTTTGGGGTGTTTTTCTGCACATGGGACAGGACGACTGCACTGTATTAAGGAGAGGATGACCGGGGCCATGTATTGCGAGATTTTGAGGAACAACCTCCTTCCCTCAGTTAGAGCATTGAAGAGTCTTCCAACATGACAATGACCCGAAGCACACAGCCAGGAGAACCAAGGAGTGGCTCTGTAAGAAGCATATCAAGGTTCTGGAGTGGCCTAGCCAGTCTCCAGACCTAAACCCTATAGAAAATCTTTGGAGGGAGCTCAGACTCCGTGTTTCTCAGAGACAGTACAGAAACCTGGCTGATCTAGAGAAGATCTGTGTGGAGGAATGGACCAAACTCCTGCTGCAGTGTGTGCACACCTGATGAAACACTACAGGAAACATTTGACCTCTGTCATTGCAAACAAAGACTACTGTACCAAATATTAACATTGATTTTTCAAAGGTGTTCAAATACTTATTTGCAGCAGTAACACACAAATAAATTATTACAAAATCATACATTGTGATTTCCGGATTTTTTAAAATTTATATTATGTCTCTCACAGTGGACATGCACCCAAGATGAAAATTTCAGACCTCTCCATGATTTCAAAGTGGGAGAACTTGCAAAGTCGCAGGGTGATCAATACTTATTTTCCTCACTGTGTGTATATACACACACACGCACGCACGCACGCACGCACGCATGCATGCACAAACACACATGCATGTGTGTGTATTTATGTAAGTGTAAACCGAACACCCCTATTGTTTGAGGAAACTGTGCTTTCTAGTTTTTATTGTGCTTAAAAGTATAGTTTCCTCAAATTATTAGGTTGATCCTTAGGTTGGCTGAAAATTAATCTATGGTGGTCAAGGCCACCATTGGCCACCCCCTGGTTCCACCATTGTGCCTGGCCATGGATAAAATTGCTCCCTCCACTCACCAGGATCTGTATGGTATGGTATGGTATGGTATGAAGTTTATTCATTTTAAAAAAAAGTACAAAACAATTCCATAACAATATATAAAAAGATACAAAAAAGTTTAAAATGAAAGGCAGCAGAAAGAAGAAAAAATCTTATTATATCTGCCCCTTTTTTCAAACAATTATTTCAGACATATTAATTTTCAAGTAACAGAACAAAATGAATAACTTTCTAATTTTTCTAATTCTAATAAAAAACACACACTAAGCTACTTCATATATACTTTTTTAACAATCTAGATTTGATCTTTTTCTTAAATGTACACATTGACTTGACATTTTTTACATCACTCTCTAGACCATTCCACAATCCAACTCCTTGGATTGAGGTAGACCTTCCCTTCAGACTAGTTCTGAATTTTGGTTTGACAAATATCTCTATCCCCTTAAGATTATAACAACTTTGTCTTTTAACAAAATTTCTTTGGATATTTAATGGTAATGTGTTATTTTGAGCCCTATACATAACTGATAAAATACTATAATCTACCAAATCATGGAACTTCAATAACTTTAGTTGATGAAATAATGTGCTTGATGGGTGACTGTAATGCTTTCTGGTGATAATTCTTACAGCTCTTTTCTGTAAAATAAAAATAGGTTTTGTAAATGTTTTACACGCTTTCCCCCAAACATCAATGCAATAGATTAAATGTGGAACAATGAATGTGTTATACAACATGTACAGAGCTTTATCATTTAATAATTCCCTGACTTTGTATAGTACTGCAATAGATTTAGATATTTTTGTTCTTACAGAATTTATGTGATTTTTCCATGTTAGCTGTTCATCAATGATTACACCCAAAAATTTCATCTCATTAACTCTACAAATCTCAACACCCTCAATTTTAAATGGATCGTCAACAGTTTTCTTTTTGTTACTAAATATCATGTATTTAGTTTTATCTAAATTTAATAATTTATTAATTTTAAACCAAGTTTGTATTTTATCAAATTCTGTCTTCATCAGTTCCAACATCCGTTTTACATCTTTACCCAAACAAAAAAATGTGGTGTCATCTGCAAAAAGGACACATTTGAGGAGTCCTGATACATTCACTAAGTCATTCACATATAAAATAAATAACTTTGGTCCAAGTACAGAGCCTTGAGGAACTCCACAAGTGATATTGCACAAGTCAGATCTTACACCATTTATTTGTACAAACTGTTTCCTATCTTTTAAATAGCTAGATACCCAGTGTAATGCTGGTCCTCTTATACCATATTTATTTAATTTTTCAAGGAGAATAGTGTGGTCAATAGTATCAAATGCTTTTTTTAAATCAACAAAAATACTAACACAATACTGTTTTTGATCGACAGCAGTAGTTATTTGTTCCATTATTTCCATGAGAGCCATTGATGTAGAGTTTTTTTGCTCTAAACCCATACTGACTGTTACTTAGAATGTTTTGTTTAGTAATAAATTTATCTAATCTGGTCACAAACAGTTTTTCTAGAATTTTTGAGAATTGTGGTAATAAGGATATTGGTCTATAATTATTGAACACACATTTATCACCATTTTTAAAGAGAGGAACTACCTTAGCTACTTTCATATTGTCTGGAAATATTCCTTTTGAAAATGATAAATTACAAATATATGTAAACGGCTCGATAACATAACTCATTATGTCCTTTGTAGTGAGTCACGTGAGATACGTGTCACTTGTTGTATGACAAATATATGGATATATATTTATGCATACTTTTCACGAGTTCTTCATTTTTCTGACTGTAAATGCCGTGCATTGAATTTAACACAAAATGTAACGAGAGACGTTATTATCTTTGACCCATCAAATGAATGGAATCATTTATTTTCAGAATCAAAGTTTAACATCAAACATTTACATTAATTTGGCAAAATATGAAAATAATAACAGACAGTTTCACAGAAAATGAACTTCAAATCACTCGGCGGTGATTTGAGGACTTTGCTTCAGATATTTCTAAAAATATCTGTACTGATTTATGAGAGAGAAGAGTTTAAGATTAAATTGAGATTTATCTTACAGAGGAAATATGTGAGGGAATTTAATCT